GTTCACACCATTCACCAATTCGTCGATCCAATTCCTCCTGCATGCTCCTTGCAATCAGCTCCTGATCTCTCCCCTGCCTATATACCAATACATCATCTGCAAAGCTTAGCGTACGGCCAGGTCCCCCCAATTGATTGGCTGTAAGACCGATGGTGTATATATTGAACAAGACCGGTGACAGGGCCGATCCCTACGGCAGTCCTGGGGTTATGGTAATAGGTTCAGAAGCCCAGCTGCGGAGGCGCAAGGAAACCTTTCTTTTTAACAAGGCATTTCCCACCCAGATCACCAATTCAGAGTCAATTAGCATATTGATCATAGTTCGCATGATTAGGCTAAAGGGCACACGGTTAAATGCATATTCTAGATCTATTGCGGTGACTAGTGTCTCTTTTCCCTCCTCAAAACCGTCGTATGCTGGAGGCCAAAATTGCTGCATTCCTCCAGGTGTCCTTACCAGAACAGTAGCTGCCGAGTTCCACAGGTATCCAGATTGTTGTGTTCCAAGTAATTGGACTGCCATCTTGATACCATTTTTTCCATTAGTTTCCCCACCGTGTTTTGCATTGTGATAATCCTGTAGGACTCAATTCTTGTGGGGTACTTCCCTGGCTTTGGTAGGGGTGTAAGATAACTGTCCAGCCAATCTTGAGGAACCAACCCGTCATGCAAAATATTATTCAGGATGTTTTGCGAGACTCTCCAACTTGTGGTCATCAAGGTCCTTGATGTGGGAATAACACACCTCGTCTGGGCCTGGTGCTGTGTCAGGTGCCGTCTTAAGTATATTATTTCGAATGGCCTCCAATGTGACTTTTACCTTTTCCTCTCCTTCCCAGTAGCTTTCTTCTACATCCCTTAGAATGCTTGTTCTTCCGTCCTCATTGTTCTGATTTGTTTGCCGCAGTTATCTGTTCAAAAGAGCCTGCCCTTTCTCCTCTTCCGGTTTAACCCATGTACTGTCTTCTGTCTGAAAATCAGGAAGGCATGTTCTTGACTACCTGTTGTTCATTGCCTTGTGAAACCTCCAAAATCTTTGTAAGGATCTGTCGCCTGTAATACTCTGGCAGAAGTCTTCCCATTTCTTGTTTTTCTCCTGCTCTGCTGTTTCTTTAAAAGCCTTTGATGCCTTTTTTGCAGCTTCCTGGAGTTCTGGATTCATTCGATTCCTTTGAGCCGCTTTAAGTGCTTTCCTTTTAATAACCCAGCGCTCCTGTATTTCCTCATTCCACCATGGGGGTTTGGTAATGTCCTTTCTTATGCATTGGCTTTTCTCTTTAGTGTTCTTGAGTAGCATGGTGATAGGGTCAGTCTCCAAAAACGTGTATCTAAATGGTCTCTTCCTCTTTGGGCCACATTTCTCAAGCGTCTTTCTGACATAGACTCGGTACGGAAGGTGGTCGCTTCCGTGACTGCCATCTGCACAGAAACTAAAGCCAAGTCTATAGCACTGTCTGTATCATTTTCTCTCTGTGCTATGCGGGTCATTCTCCCATCATTTACGATAGCTAGATCACACGAATCTAGAGCATTTTCCAAATCAACTCCCTGTTCGTTGAACTTGATAATATATTACCCCATTGCATACCACGGACATTGAAATCTCCACAAAATAAAGTCTGACCAGTGAGAGTTTGTCGAATGTTTTCCAACCCCCCATTCCTTTTCATCCACAGATCCAGTACAAGCATAAACATTTATGACATTCCGTTCTGGCTGGTTCGTGAGTTCCACAGCGAGCAAGTGGAGATTCTCAGACTCCCAAAAACCCATACTGACTTCCCTGCTCTCAATATTGTTCTTCACAAGGGCTACCTGGCCGTGTCCAGTTCTGTTATAGAATGCCGTGTATCCTGCTGGTTTAAACGTTTTCAGTGCCCCTAGTCTAGTTTCTTGTAGGCACACTGTATATGCCAGCCCTGCCACCAGACCGCGTTGCTCAATACTTGCACAATTCCAATATAAGATTTGCATATTATTTGCTTTGGCCAGTCTTTCAACTTTCCGCTGCTTCCGTCTGATGCCAGCTCGCCTTTTCCAATGTCTCCCACCTCTTCTGCCTCTCTTACCTCTCCTACCTGATATGGACTCCGCAAATGATCTCCAGCAAGGAGCACGTCCACCGTCGCTCCTGCGAGAACCCTGTAGATTGTTTTCAATTAAAACCATAGTAGTTTTGCTAGTTAGCAGGAAATAAACCCGTTAACCCGGTGGAGCCTGCATACAGACATCGTTAAAGTTACAGAGCTCATTACTTCTATCCCTTCATCATAAAGTCCCTCGGAACGCCAACTAGACTAGGGGTTTATTATCGAGGTTGTCTCCTCAAGATCCACCGCCAGGTCTAGGTTAACAGGGTCACCTCGAGAAGGATGTGGCTCTTCGCTCACGCAAGACAGTCTTGGGGTAAGAGTGGTATGCCAAACCAGGGGACTTACTGGGTCCGCCCTTTTCACTGTTCAAGTATAAATACATGTACAGCTAGGTTTGGAGGTATCTAAGGGGAGACAGCTAGTGTGTCTCATTGCCCAGACACCTTTCTGCCATTACCCCCGTGGGTCTCCTGACCCTAGACCCCCATAGGCCTAGGCCTATCGATCACTAGCCTTTTCTAGGCTAAACCTGCTGTAAAATAAAAAGATGAATGACCTACCTTTATGCCTTGTGAGGTTCCATTCGGTTCCAACCAAAGACGTTCATAAACTACAATACACATGTACATCAATAGCGTCCAGGGGCGGCTCGTGGGTCTTAAAAGTGGGCGTGCACAATTAGGTTAAAGCAGGTTGAAGATAGTCAAGGGCATGGTAAATGAGATGTTTTCTACTTCCTACCTGTTTTGAGAAAATATATTTAAAGAAGAAGTTTTCTTTTCGTTCTTTTGCTGCAGCAAAAGTGTCCATTATTCTGTTGACGAAGTTGGGCATGCTATCAATGATGTCCTTGTGGATCGACATAAACGTCAGTGCAATTTCTAGGATTTTGCATACTTCTCTAAATGTTGTGTTGAGTTTGTAGTCCTTCAGAGTTGAATAAAGGCCCTGGATTGTACTACCTTGAGCAGACTTAAATATTTCATTGCAATGTAATAGGCCTACTTATAATTCTGTCTGTAACTTGATTTTATACAAAACAGTAGTATTTCTGTAAACAATCCTAAAAGAACTGTAGGAAACGACTTTTGGTAGTCCAGGAATTTGGAGGAGTCGAAGATTGATAGTGCGTTGAATTTATTTTGCTTCAAGAAATTGTCAACAATTTGAGAAACTATTATGTCACAGGTCTGCTTTGCAGCAATTTCGTTGGTGTTGTAATGCCTGCGTCTCTTGGAAGTGTGTTTCTCTGTGGTCTGTTTTGTTGATAGAACACGTATACTGTTTCTAATTTCATCGACGGCCACTTTAAACATGTCTAGAGCTTGCTAGGTTGCTGTGGGCGTTGTACTTCTCTGTTAGAGGGTCCCATAAACAGCGTCAACATGCATGAACACTTTGTTGAAAAAGTGCAAAAAGATGAGAAATGTTTCGCTCTTTAATACATTCAGGATACCATCGTGGATGGAATTATCGTCCCACTGCTCAGATTGAATTTCTGCAAGACAAAGCTGGGTCTCTCCTTTCCAAATGAAGATGTGCTAATTAGTCGAGAATGTAAATTCCACTTTGTTTCAGACGACCATGGAATATTCCGGTGACAAACGCGTCTGAGAACGCCGATGCATTTTGTAGAGTTGGCAAAAAATGTCGAAGAGCCTGCATAGCGTTACCTCTGTTCCCCGACAAATCACCCTTTTCATGACCGCGAAGGGCGAGTTCGTGAGTTTCACAGAACAAAGTACACTCGATAACCTTATAGTACTTACACAATACGTGCCTATTCTTTCTCACCAGTTCGTTATTGTGAGACGTTGAAATGCGATGACCAACGACTAGCTGCGCTGCTATGTCTACTTGTCCGAAAGTATGATACTTAACGGCATTGTTTAAGTGCGCTCTTGATGACCCGTGACTTTAAATGCGTTGTTTCACATAAACAAGATCAGTATCAGTAAAACCTGTCTTAGACTATTACTTGGGGTCCTCAGTTTCAAAAAGCAGACAGGAGAAACAGCAGGCCTACAATGAGTATTTGCTAACGCTGACTGTAAGCCACTCCACTTTTTGTTGGTTGTATTATTTTGATATCTTTTGGTTGTTGAGGACCTAATTCTTTCACTCTCTTCTTGTTACTTTGTTTGGTAAACTGATTTTATTTGCAATCAACTTCATTCATGAAGCATTGGAATACACCCTCGAGTAATAGCCTAAAACTGTCACCACTGCGTAACACCATTCCAAATTCTAACACAGTAACCCAGTTACGCCATGTTGACCTCGCTCAAGTTCAGGGTTACAGAGGTGGGGCTAGAGATATAAATGGCAAGACAATGGACCAATCGCACATCACTTTGAGCATTCCGGTGGATAGCTCCGAAGCTTTCATAATACGGGCATTGAATTGTGTAGGCCATCGTGAACTGGTCTGAGATGGCGTTATTTTTAGACTGCCTCTATGGGCTTTGCTCGGCTGGTGCACATTGAGATTGTGCCGCCTTATTAATATTTATGAACTAAGAAACTCGGTCAAAACGTCATCATTGTTTGGGTCGGCCCATAGAGCATTTTCCGAGATAGATTACACCGCTGAACATTCTATTATTTACTTGGGTGGAGCACAAGGACTTGATATTATGGTATAGTAGATGTTGTAGAGTTGTAGATGTTGTTATGAACGAATAGGCTCTGGCGAAGAACTTGTACGGAAAACTGGTTGGATGGTGGAAGGTAAAGGTTCTTTTATTGTCTCTTTGTGGGTGTTGGGCGCACTAAATTTTTTGGGCGGCAGTGCACGACCGTGCTCTATGGACGAGCCGCCCCTGATAGCGTCCGTTGCCTCTGCTTAACAAATTCAATGTGTTATTTTACACGTTTCCTGTTGTTGTTGTTGTTTTGGGTTTTTTTCTTAATTAAATCGAGAAGCAGGCTGTTCAAACTCTTTGTATTACACTTGTCTCTCAATAGCTCAAGGTAAAAACGTAAAACCCGGAATCCTTTTTTTTTAAAATTCGTTTTGTTTTGTCAAAATGCACACCACGCCATGGTGTTGTCGCTGTTTTTAAAAACCCATAGTGTACATGCGCAACAACTTGTGTACAAATGGAGGAATGTTAGCTACAGACCCTGTCCACTGACTTAGTTGACTTCAAACACAGGTTTGGTCGTGAGTTTTTGGAAGGATTTGAATGTTGAAAGCATGTTGGATGATTTGTTGGACTTTTGAGCATTATGAACCGTGAGTAAAGATCTTTGCTGTTCTTCTTGATCGAAGAAAATCTAATATAGAATCTATCTTTTCTTTTCTTTTATAGATCTGTAGATTGACTATTGACTGATTTGTATTGTATTGGCGTTGGAAATTTTCGGTCTTTGCGTCTGCATTCTGCATTCTTTTTTTTACCACCTTCACATGCACGCGCAATAGGAAATTAAAAGAGTTTATCAAGCTATTGTTTGTCAAGTGTAGTCTAGATTCTATCTCTGAGATCTCAACTAGACTGGAGTCTATTTGTTCACTTGACTGACTTTAACTTCAAGTAAACTTTAGTGTGGCCCTTTACTGTTACTTTTAAGTTACTTTTCAGTTTTCTCAATTTTCTACATGTAGAATCTAGATTCTATGTTTGAACACCATTTGCATTTTTACAAGAAGCTTGATCTAGATCTAGATCTAGAGATATATCTAGATCTAGATCTAGATCTAGAGATCTAATTTTATTTTAATGATAGTCTAGCGTTAATTGCGAAGAGTGACTGACAAAAAAATTTTTTTAAGAAAAAAGGAAAGGAAGTGCCTATTTGCAGCGCCGCGTTGCGATTAGCGCCAGTGCTATTTGCAACGCCGCGTTGCGATTAGCGCCAGTGCTATGCAACGCCGTGTCGCCGTGTGTAAAATATGAAGCTTAATCTGCACTTTGTTATCGGAAGTTCTGATAGTCGCATGGACAGCGCGTCTGCGCTTGAAGTCAAACCATCAGTTTTTTAGCTTGGGTTCAATCCCGGTCCTGGACAGGGTTTTTTTTGGGGGGGGGGGTGTTGTCTTCTTCTCGACTGACCAACAAATTTTCCCCTTAAAGTTAATTATAGCTTGTTGCTTTGTAGTTTTTTTTACGAAGTGACTATTTCTCCGAACGTTTGGAAAAATAGTGCCGATCTTTATTTCTCCGAATGGTTTCCGGCTTCCGGTCTCGTGATTTATTGCCTATTTATTGCAAGAGTTCGGCGCCAACTTTCCTTCTGCCTCTGGTCTGGGATTGGGAAGGAACACCGCATGGCAAGCCCGCCTACAGACAACCTTCAGTAACACCCACCACACACCCACCACCATCATGCACATGTACACACACAAACTTATACACACACACTAACTAAACATGATCAGTGGGCTACTTTTGAACGTATGACGAGCTGAGCTGTGAATGGAGAGACAGTATGAGTGAAAGAGCAGGTGAAAAAAAGAATGTACGAGTGTATCCACAGGCGACAGCAACTACAAGACGACGACACCGATCCCCCTGGCCTGGTCCACAGCTCACGAACGAAAGGAATGCGGCTAAGGCAGTGTTTTGCCTATGTTATTGTCCATGGTTCGCAGGGAGCAAGGGAATGTGTGAGATTTTCTTTGTGTGTGCCTGGAGGGAGGGGGTGGGGTGTGAAAGTCATGCGTACGGCGATGAGCCGCGGGAGAGAACACGGGAATTGAATGAATGAGTGAAACTGAAAGAGAGGAACGACTCATGAGCCCTGGAGTGAATGGATTCCTGTGTTTCTATTTTTGTGTATACTTTGAACTGTTACTGAATAAAGCCCGAAAAACAAACACACGCACGCTCCTCACTCTCCACTTACACACTTTACAGACTTTACTACCACACACAGACACACTCACACATGCACATGCATACACACACACACACACACACAGAGGAGCAAATTTTTAGGTCTATATATCTATTTCAATTCTCAAGAGCTAGTCTGGCTAGTCTAGAGATTTTTAGATGAGTGTAAAAACGTGAAAAAGAAAGTAGAAAGGTTTCACAACAGAATGAAATCCAAATTAGAACAGCCCATAAACAACCACAAAAAATAACAAATAAGGGCGTGAGTCCACCTGTCCGAAGAAGATTGGCTGTTTTAAAACTAAATGTGCGTAATTTTAAAACAAAGTACAGGACATTTAAATCTATATATTTATACATGTGTATATATTTAGAATCTAACGAAGGTAGGAACATCAAATTAAATGACGTTACACTATATAACCCCCCCCCCCCCCCTTTTTTTCCCCCCCAAAAAAAATTGATAGAAAAACAACACATCAGAACAATAACAAGAAAGAAAAAAATACACACTAACAAAATAAAACACCACAAAGAGGAAAAAATAAAAGTAACTAACGTAATTCAACAAATCAACCTGGTGACAACAAGTGAGAAAGAGACGAAGTGAAGCTAGGTGAACTTTCTTTCAAAAGTAAAGAGGTTCGGTTTTTCTTTTTTTTTTTTTTTTTTTCTTTGACTTTTATTTTCCGATTTGGGGACCAAAAAATTGAGCCACGATTGATTGGTCGCGGCTGCGACAAACGCAGATATCGCTAGTTCTATGTGACGTTATCAATAACCCTCCGTAGATCTAGACTAGACAGCACACGAGTGAACACAACACATTAAGTTTAAGAGCAGCACCCTTCATAGGCAACACGTGATATCTGTAGCGAAAAACTGTTTGGAACTGTAGCGTTTCTTTATAAATATTTACTGTGGACATTTTTTGGACCGATTGAACCATATTGTATACGAACAATCTTTGGTAGGCCTATACTATAATTATAGATCTATATAATATCGGAAATTTGCGGAAAGGATGTGATTTCAGAGTGTTCGGAGAAATAGTGCCCAGCTTTATTTTTCCGAACGTTCGGAGAAATAGTGCTGGCCTTTTTTTTATGCAGTGATGAAGCATGCACATTCAGGTTTTGTCCCCAAGAGGAGCTCTGTACAAAGTATAATAGGCCTTATAGCCTACACTTTTCCTTTTACCAATTTAGGCCTGGTTAAAGTTCAATAGTGGCTTTCCTTGGTCTGTGAGTCTAATTTTTAAATTTTTGTTTGTTTTAGGCTCAGGAGAAGGAAAAAAAACCTTCCGGGACCGGGATTCGATGCCACGCTTGGAAGCACTGAACATTAGACTTAGAGAATGTAGACAGTAGACAGCTTGTAAACGTTCTCTAGGCCTAACTTAAAGTTCGAGTTGCACCGTCTTGTTATTGTTGTCCAAGCGTCTTTCGACTTTTAAACTTGCTCAAACTCTAACTCAAATGATTATGATTATGAGAGATGAACAAGACGTCTACTTTTGTGCAAACAATGTCAGAAACAATTGTTAAATCTAATCTAGATCTAGATCTACCCAATATTGATAGGAATAAGACAACGTCATAAAAAAGGAGTCAAATCCTAGGAGGTTTATAAAAAAACTGAGAAAGCTTCCACAATTCAGGCAGAACTACAATATTATCGTGTAAAAACTATGGCTACTAGATCTAGATTCTAGTACTGGCGTTTCAAATAGCACGGGAGCTATTCAGAACACGGCGTTGCAAATAGCACGGGAGCTATTCAGAACGCAAATAGCGCTTGCCAAAAGGAAAACAAACACACATTACACATTCACATATACACACACACACTCACACACCCACACACATACAAATACACATACATGCACACACACACAGACACACACACATACACTCACAGACGAACGCACACCGCACATGCTTGGCCTTATAAACACACACACCACACATGCACGCACACGCACACACACACGCACACACACACACACACCAAAGTAACGGACAAAAATAAAGACAGTCGCAGCTCTTTTCTTGTTGTTGCTATTGTAGCCCCAAGTGGTTTTTGTTGCTGTTGATGTTTTGTTGAAATATTTTTTGCCTCGACTCTACTGTGCAGAAAGTATTTGTCGATTTTTACCAAACTCTTTGTCCGCCTTCTCAACTGTTTCAGTTTCAGATGATTTTTTCCTAAAGGTGACAAAATTTTCATCCTTAAATTTAGCAAAAGCTTTGTCAAATTCATCGTAAGATTTGAATGCCTGCTGTAGAAAGCCTTCCATTTTGTCAGGCTGTGACAAGCATAGATAACTAGGACCACGATGAGAAAGTGGAAATGGTAAATGTTAGATCAAGGAGCTTAAAACTAACCTCCTTGTGTTAGATCTAGATCTAGATCTAGATCTAATCATCAACGCAAAAGAGCTCTGTGTTCACTCTGTCACAATTAACGCCGCGTTAGTTGTCACAGCGTTACTCTGTCGCAATTAAAACACTACCTATTTTATTATATTAGTGCAAATAAACTCTTCATCTTGAAGAGTTAGCTTTTTTTTACTCATACACCCGTTTTATAGATCTATACTTTTTTTCTAGATCTAGTAGTATTTTGCATGCTGACCACGAATACGGCCTTCATTTTTGCCGCTTATCAATAGTTATTGGTGTTTGAAAATAGTAATATTTGACTTGATTTTTAACAACATGGGGGGTTTCAGGGGGGCATGCCCCCCCCACATTTCACAATAATTTGTGAGGCATCGTGGTGAGATCAGGCGCTTGTCAAAATAATGAAATCGGCATTTTTTAGTCAGTTTAGAATTATTTTTTTTTCTCAACACCTCGTATGTCCATTCAAAAACATTCTCTTATGTGTGGAGTTTATGGAAAAACTTTGATTAAAGGCACACAAAATTTTAATTTGCAGTCTTCAAGGACTCTCAGGCTATGGAAGTCGTGAAACTTTGGCGGCCATTTTTTCGTTATTTTACTTCTGAAACCAGGCGACCCCCACCTCCTTCATTCGCAAATATCTTGACTTCTAGTCAAGATAAATGGATTTTTTTTCATCCAAAGCAAGGCAAATGAACTTTAAGATGATACCAATTACCCCATATATGTCCTCAAATTGACGAGCGCCTGATTCCGCAGCGTCGTGATACATTTGATTTTTTGGCAATTAGGATTGATATTTGAAAGCAATTGATTTGCAAGGGTTTTAGTGGCCATACGTGTGTTCTACAGCAAAAATTATGTCAGTTTAGCCCTCAAATCAATGCATCTGTGTGTGGGTGCATAAGTAAAAATTTACTGAAGAGTCAATGCTTCCTTGCCATAACTTCCTAATGTGAGGCATCGTGTTGAAATCAGGCGCTCTTCAAAATAAAATGAAATCGAAGAAACTGGCATTTTTCCGTCCATTTGACAATTCTTATCAAATTTTTGTCTTTTTATCTCAACATGTTTACTGATCCCGTCCATGATTGTTTTAGGCTCTAGACAGAGTCTTTCCCTGTTCAATTTTTCACCTGGGGTGCTTTATTTAATGCATCACTATGAAGCTCTAAGCTACTTTATTATGTATCATCATATACCAAACTGATGGGAATAAATAGAGGAATCTGATTATATCAATTACAATGACTTATATTCCGATTGTATTGTATTTTCTCGGAGACAAAAACGAATGAGAAAAAAAATTGCGAAACACCTCTTTGAAAATTTCAACTTGCCTCATTTTCTCAGCTCTACAGGAAATCAACACAATATTTTAGAGATATGATCCTAGCACAGATTTATACAAGAATTTCCCAAATTTATTTGAATATCTTTCACTGAAGGGCCTTCTTATTATACCAGGCTCCATGTTGTTACCCTCACTTAGCGACAACATAACAATGATTTTTGCAAGAATGTTGTGGAGTTTCGATCGATTTTGGCCTTGAGAGATTGAGGTCAGGCTTGTTTACAAGTTTTACTTCCTTTTGACAAATTAAAAGTAGGAACTGTGTTAAAAAGTGCTCTTTCATTTTGGATTTCGTCAAGCCGCTCGCAGCTGTCGAATGGCAACAGCGGCAAAACCCAGAGCCGCTGTCACTGGCTGTATGGACGGAATCAGTTAAGGTCCATTTAAAAACACATTTCTGTGCAGGTTTTACTGAAAAATGTTGATTTAAGGCATTAAAAAAATGTAAATTTGCAGTTTCTGAGGACTCTCAAGCTTTGAAAGTCGCCAAACTTCAGCCCTTATTTATGACTCCGGAACCAGGCGACCCCCATCTTCAATCACAAATATCTCGACTTCTATTCTCATGATAGATGAGTATTTTTTCTCCGAAAGCAAGACAAATGAACAAGTTTTAAAATTATACAAAAAACTCGACTTGTCCAAAAATTGACGAGCGCCTGATTCCTCCACGTCTTGACACATATATTATATATCATATATATAGCTTTCGATTAACCACTCATGTTGAGAGTTGTGGTGACCACATAGGTGACATAGTGCAGTGGCTCACCATACTGCTGCATCACTTGTATGATTAGACCTCTGATGTTTTTACTTTTAAATTTTGATTAAAGTAAATAATATTTGTGAAATACACAAAGCCTCTATTTCAGTGAATGTTCACTGTCATATATATAATTTTTAATAGTCAAAAATGCTTTAATTATAATTGTAAATGAATTGACTGTTTAGTCTTGCATGCATGCATGCCTAATTTTACATTTTGATGAATGAAGCTTTTGTCTGATGACTGCTTTTAAACTCGATTTTGCCCATTGGATTATATATAATAATATGTATATTATATGTGTGTGTGTGTCAGGACGAAGTTGAATCAGGCGCTCGTCAATTTTTGGGCATATTGAGTTATTGGTATCATCTTAAAGGTTGTTCATTTACCTTGCTTTCGATGAAAAAAATATCTATTTTTCTTGAACAGAAGTCCAGATATTTGCAATTGAGGGGGCTGGGGTCGCTTGGTTTCAGATGTAAAATTAGTGAGAAAATAGCCGCCAAAATTTGGTGACTTCCATGGCATAAGAGTCTTTGGAAATTGCAAATTTACATTTTTTGTGCTTTTAACTCTTTAAGCCCTGAGTTTTTTTCACCGTTTCCCAGAGTTTTTTCTACAGTCACCTAAACCTAGTGCACTATGTCTCATTATAACCCCAAAAGCTTGCCTCCAACTTCTAAATAGCGGAAACAGAGTCTTAGTCATTACTAAAAAAAACTTGGTTCGGGAATAATTCCGAAAAATAAGCAAAAACTAGTACTGAATAATACGAAAGGGTTGTCACTAGTACTGGACACTCCCAGCGATGGGGAACAGGGTTATTACCGCCGAAGCGTCTGATGGGGTTCAAAGAGTTACTCACAGTTTTTTCCTTAAAATCCACACAAAAGTGCTTTTGAATAGACATACAAGTTGTTGAGCAAAAAAACAAAAATTCGAAAAAATTTCCAAACTGGCAGATAAATGGCGATTTGTCAAATTTCATTATTTTGACAAGCGCCTGATTTCACCACGATGCCTCACACACACATATATATAATATAGACCTCAGGAGAGGAATCTAATAGCGGGTCCCCACTAGCGCGATTGGGTCAGGTCGGGTCGGGTTGATATGGTAGTCGGGACTAATTAAATTGAGAGTGCAAAGCGACCATCGTGGCACAAACCAATCGACACGGTCAGTGACCTTCAAAAACAAATGCGTTTGTTTTCAGATCTGCGGGTCGCATGATCAGGTGTTTGCAGCCGATAACAACAAGGCTGAGTCACGTGTCCATGTTGACACTGCGATGTCATTTCAGGCATTTCCGCGTGAAATTCCATCAACAGTTGACAACAATGGAGTCCATCTACTTACAGAAGATAATAGAAAGATATCGATGTAACCCATGTTTATGGGATTCCAGGCTGCTACAGTGCTGCAACAGGGAACTGCGGAAAGGAGCCCTGGAAGCCATTGAGGTTAAAGGTATCTCTACTTTAACTTCCAGGTTGTCAGAGGTACAATCGCAGCGGGGTTGTAGTGTGCACTGAAACCACCAGAAAACGGCCCGACCTGACCTTACCGTACCCGACCCGACCGCGCTAATTGGCACCCCCTATTATGAAATTGTAAAATTGGCGGTCATGACAACCAATAGGCAAAGATTTCACATTTTTCACTCTTTTCCTCAGATTCCAGAAGTCGCAAGAAGTGGGGCAATGGGAACCAAGAGTTACAGGTGCCTCTTAATGTGAGTGTCTTGGTTTTACTAGCTTGCTGCAGTTTTAAGACAAGATTACTCACAGTTATTCAAACTAGCTCAACAGCTTTTGTCACATTTATCTGATATGTGCTATTTATTTTAAAAGCAGTGGTATGGGGCTTTGCTGGAAAGGAGTGATGCTGAGCCACTCAAATAACATTATAGATGCAAGCAAAAAGAAACCTTCAGCACATATATGCATTCATAGAAAATCAATGATAGACGTCTATGTCGAAAGACTTCAAAATGGAAATCTTCGCTAGAGCACTAGATTGTTGTTAAAGTATGGCCAGTGCAAATAACCTTTATTCAAGCAGTCTAGCAGTCTGATGCCCACACACAAACAGATGGGGGGGCCAACAGGTCATGGCAAGACTGACAGTCTATAGAGAGCTGCAAGGCCAACAGCTTATGGATGCCATTTAAAAATGCACAACCAGGAAACTATAACGTTTTCATTACTAGAGTTTCTCTAGCAGTTAAAGCATCTTTGGTGATCTCAAGTGATCTCCCTTAAATCAAGTCGGGGGCAGATTCCGCCTGGCGCTACCTAAATCTATCTTTAATTTTCTAGGACAGCATAGCGATGTCATAGAGGTTGCTATGGGAAGGGTTTTAGTGAAACTGGAGAACATACAATCTATTATGGTACATTGTAAAACATGTGTGAAGAGAGGTAGGGGGACCATGGCCCCTTTGTACCAAATGTAGCCCCACTACTAGCTAAAAGTATTCATTCTCTTTATGGCATCAGATTTATAGCAGTTAAGTTCTTTTGTTTCTTATGTTTTATTTGTGGGGAATGGAAAATTTCAACTCAGCCTCACCCCCAGTGGGTCGGGGGGATATAAATAGACCCACTGCTTCGTCTGCAGAGGGTGCAACCCCCTCAAAGGCGAAGTGTCGCACACGGACCCCAACCCTCTGGGATCCGTGTGCGACATTTTCTTTGGTGTATCCTCCTCTTCTCCTTCCTTCTTTCTTTCTTCTTCTATCTTTCCTACCACTGCTGACCTCATGTGCAGCAAAACGAGAGGTCACCCATCCCACAGAGTGGGCGCCTCGTTGACCGTGAGGTGCGACCCGTGCAGAGGGAAACCGGGTACCTGGCGGTTGAGGTGAGATCAGTCCACGGACTGTCCCTCGCCAACACACCTCTTTGGCCCAGGTTTTCCTCTTAGACGGGAGGGTGGCATGGCCCATGCCACTCAATCGGTTGAGAGCTGAAACCCCATCAAGCCCTGGGTCAATCTTGACGAGAGGGTCTTGTACTTTCTCGTTGAGAGTATAGCTCCGGGGTAGCCCTGGCACAGCTCTGGTCATCCGAGCAATGTGTCCCCTTGTTGGGCTCTGTGGCGGGCGGGGAGCCCCGGAGTAGAATAAAATAGAAAACTCTCATGGAATCCAAATAAAAAATAGACCCTTCCCCAGCTCCCAACGTAAAGAAGTCTCGGCTCGCGGAAGCAGGTGCGGCCGCCGAGCCGAGCAAAAGCTCAAAAAATGGTAAAAGGACCTTTACCGATGCCTCTTTTCTCCCTCCTCCCAAGGAGCTTCTGAGGCAACCGTACGTGGCCATCTCCAGTACCAAAGACGCACAGAGAAGAATTACCGATCTCAACCTCTTTAAGACAGGAGATGCACTACGGAAAGTTCTGGGATACATTCCCACATGTGTACAGAAACTTTCCTGTGGTGCACTCCTTGTCAAGTGCGCAACCGAAATCGAAGTGACCAAACTCCTGGATACCACGACCTTCGGTGGTATTCAATGTAAGTCAGAGCACTACCAAAAATTTAACCGCTCGAAGGGCGTGGTCCGCAGCCATGAGCTGAAAGGCTGCTCCATGGAAGAGATTGTGGAGCACTGTGAGGGAGTGGTCGAAGCCCGCCGGATTACTCTTCGGTGGGGGGAGACTACTATCGAGATGAACACGATTGTCCTAACATTCGAATCGTGTCGCCCTCCAGCCACCGTTCGGGCATCTTACTTGGTACTCGACGTACGACCCTATGTGCCGAACCCTCTGCGCTGTTTCAAGTGTCAGAAGTTCGGCCATAGCCAGTCACGGTGCCGTCACGCAGCCGTGTGTCCTCGTTGTGGCAAGACCGGGCATCCTGAGAAGGAATGCAAGGCTAGTCCTTGTTGCCCCAATTGCCACGGCCAGCACACAGCTTTCAGCAAGGAGTGTCCGACTTGGCTCCAAGAACGCGCCATCCAGAAATACAAGGCGCGAAATGGCTGCTCCTTCCAGGAGGCTCGTAAGGTTGTGTGCCCGCCAATCACAACCCCAGTCGTTGGCCGGTCATATTCAAAGGCAACCCAGATGGTCACGAGGTCGGCAAGTAATTCTACTGCCGACCTCCCAAAGCCCGCGGTCAACAGGCAAGTCTCTGTGCCAAAGATCACCAAAAATAAAAAGCCCGCTACTATCCCTGTGGCACCCCCCTTTGAGGTGCCACTCTCTAACAGCTATGGGGTTCTAGGGGAGGACGGGGAGGACTCTTCCTCCGCCCCCTCTTCTCCCCCTCACCCCTCTTCTATCATTTCTTCTTCTTCTTCTTCCACCTCACAGCCCATCCCTCTGATGGAGTGCGGGGTGGGCCTTCTCCCCTCCCCCCAGCCCCCTCCCCCCCCCTTCCCAGCCCCCTCGGTCTGCTCCACCTCCCCCTACCCCTCCAGCAGACAAACCCCTGCCTATGGAGGAAGACAGCTCCGACCCCCCCTCCCCGGCCTGACCCAGGGAGGGGCGGAGTCTGTCACTCCTCCAGATCCCCCACTAGACCGCCGTCCAATCCAGGACGGCAACCTAGAAAAAACTCTGCCTCCCCCGTAAGGAGGAGTCAGAGTGTTTCTTCGAAGCCGGGGCCTAAGTGCTCCAAATCAAAAAGTAAAAATTCATAATGGCGGTCCTGCAATGGAATGCCGGCGGAATCCGACCTTCCATTGCAGAATTGCAACATTTACAGGCCACACTGTGCCCACGGGTGGCCTGTATTCAAGAAACAAAATTCGCCCCGGCTTCAACCATAGACTTAAGAGGATTTACTGCATACCATCACATTCACACGGAGAACCAGATTGCTTCCGGTGGTACCACCATCTACACCGACAACCACACACTCCACAGACAAGTACATCTTAAGACGACCCTCCAGGCTATTGCCGTACGGGTCACCCTGCACAGACCAATCACGATCTGCTCAGTTTACATCCCACCAACTTACCCCCTCAAAATAACCCAACTAAATGACTTAAAGTCTCAGCTCCCAAAACCTTTTATTTTGCTAGGTGATTTCAATGCCCACAGCCCCCTTTGGGGAGACAAACCTATAGACCAGAAAGGAAAAATAATAGAAAACTTTTTATTTCAAAATAACATCTGTCTCTTAAATGATAAATCCCCAACTTACAGAAACAGAGCCACTTATGGCACTTCATCCCTTGACCTCACCTTTTGTACCCCTGACCTAGTCCCAGATCTTGAGTGGTCTGTGCTGGATGACCGTACGGACCATTTCCCAATTCTCCTAAAAAACAATAACCTCCAAAACGACCCGATCCCAGAACGCTTCAACTTCAAAAAAGCCGACTGGGACGGGTTTGCCAATCAATGTTCCAAGATTCTTAATCCCAATTTCGACCACAACTACAATAAATTTCACGAAAAACTCTTAGAAATAAGCCACAATCAAATACCAAAAACAAAAACAAAACCCCGGAGGAACAAGGTCTGGTTCTCTTGGGAGTGTGAGGACGCAGTAAAGAAAAAGAAGGCAGCGTATCGAAAGGCCGTGAACAACACCACCATAGAAAACAAGATAATTTATTTAAAGGCTCGAGCTGTGGCACATAGATGCCTCAGGGAGAGCAAAAGACAATCATTCCAAAAATACATCTCCAAAATCAACAGCCAGACACCACTCAACCAAGTTTTCAAAATTGCTAAAAAATTCTTAGGTAGACGCACAGACACCATTCGGCACGTCCAGAGGCCGGATGGAACCACAGCTGAAACACAAGTAGACATCGCAAAAACAATAGCTACATCTCTCTCCAAAAACTCTTCCCAAGCAAACTACAACACCACTTTTCAAAACATCAAAACTAACAGAGAAAAACAACACCTGAACTTCCACTCAAACAACACTGAAACCTACAACGCAGACTTCACAATAGACGAACTAACATTGTGCATCTCGGACCTGGGCGATACAGCCCCGGGACCGGATGACATCCACAACAAGATCATTAGACACTTACCCTCAGAAACACTCACACTCCTACTACACATATACAACGACATGTGGCGGTCGCACTCCTTTCCGGAGTCTTGGCGTCTCGCCACTGTCATTCCAATACCCAAACCAAACAAAGACCACACACACCCATCCAATTACAGACCTATAGCTCTAAAGAGCTGTCTCTGCAAACTAATTGAAAAAATGATTCACAGGCGACTCATGTGGTTTCTGGAAACGACGGGCTCGCTGAGCGATCTCCAGTGCGGAATCAGGAAAACTCGATCCACTCTGGATCATCTGGTCCGCCTGGAGACCTTTATACGCGAGACGTTCGCTGAAAGGGGCCACATGATCGCCATCTTTTTTTACCTAGAAAATGCTTTCGACACAACCTGGAAGTACGGCATTCTTCGAGACCTGCACACACTCGGCATGCGCGGTCACCTCCCAGCCTTCGTTGGCAACTTCCTGAAGAACCGTTCCTTCCAGGTTCGTGTCGGATCCTCCCTTTCAGACCCCCACCAACAGGAGGAAGGAGTCCCCCAGGGGAGCATCCTTTCTCCTCTCCTATTTGAAATTAAAATAATTCCATAGTGAAAACCCTCCAAAACAGCATAGACAGCTCGTTATACGTTGACGACTTTTTGATATGCTGCCGTTCGAAAAATCCTCATTTGAGATCTATGAAAAGGCAGCTGCAAAAACTTGAAACGTGGGCAAACAATAACGGTTTCAAGTTCTCCCCGTCAAAGACAGTTGCAGTACACTTCTGCCGAACAGGCAGACGTGTGCTGCAGCCGGATTTGACACTATACGGGGAAAGGATTCCCGTCCAGGACCAAGCTCGTTTCCTCGGCGTCATTTTCGACAAAAAACTTACATTCATACCACACATCAAAGACCTTCGTGTGAGGTGCCAGAAAGCGTTAAACGCTATGAAAATTCTTTCGAATCCGGAGTGGGGCGGGGACTCAAAACACCTTCTCCACTTGTACATCTCCCTTGTCCGGTCCAGGCTTGACTACGGTTGTCTACGGGTCGGCAAAACCACACGTCTTAAAAATACTAGATCCAATACAAAACCAAGGACTCCGCCTCGCTCTGGGGGCTTTCCGCACTTCTCCGGTGGAGAGCCTCCAGGCCGAGGCCAACATACCACCACTCTCACTCAGATGCACACAACTCTCACTACAATACGCAGTTAAACAGAGCTCAACACAGGAAAATCCAGCGCACAAACAAATCCAGAAACCATATACAGATTCCAAAACAACGAAAAACTCATCAAACCTTTCGGCCTCAGAATCCTTGAGGACCTCAAAAACTTACACTTTTCCAAACAAGACATCCAACAAATTCTTTTCCCCGACCTCCCTCCGTGGCACCTCACCAAGGCAAAAGTAGATTTACAGCTGACCACACACAACAAAGAAAGCACAAACACCAAAACTTTTCAAGCAGAATACAAAAAACTAATAGATAAATACCCTGGTGCGGAGCTCATCTTCACGGATGGCTCCAAAAAAGACAATGAAGTGGACGCCGCAGCCCTATCTCCCAACAATACACACCAGAGGAGACTCCATCCTGAAGCCTCCATTTTCACTGCGGAGGCCACTGCCATTGACATGGCACTGGACTCTGTAGAAAATTCTCCTAACAAATCTTTCCTTATCCTTTCTGACTCTCTGTCTTGCATCACCTCACTCATAAACTACACTCTTACATCCAAAAATAGTTAGGCTACAACAGAAAATTCATACACTATCCGAAACAGGAAAAAACATAATGTTCGCATGGATACCCCAGCCATGTGGGCATCCGAGGAAACGAGCAGGTAGACGAACTGGCGAAGAAAGCTTCATCCCTTCTGCTGGGATCAACGACAAACACTCTCCCACAGACTGACTTTAGAAATAAAGTCAAAAAGTACTCCTCCAGCCTGTGGGAGAGCCACTGGGAAAACCAGAAAAATAATAAACTATACGAAATAAAACCCAAACTAAAACAGCGAAATCCTTCGGACCTCTCCAGAAGAGACGGTCATTTTTACTCGATTGCGCATCGGACACACAGCCCTGACCCACAAATACCTCCTTTAGGGAGATGAGAAGCCGTTCTGTGTCGGATGCGACACAGATTTTACCATTAGACACATCTTAACCGAATGTCTGGACTTTGGAGAGATCCGAAGGAAATTTTATAAATGCAAGAAATTGCAAAATATCTTTTCCGTTGTTGTTCCCAGCAGAATTTTGAATTTTATAAAGGCCAATTAGGCCTTTATGGCAAGTTGTAAAAAGAAAATGAAAACGTACCATTAAAAATTTTTATTGTTACCTATAAGAGTTGTTTTAAATCACAAATATATTTACACTGAATTTTAATATTTTAACATTTTAGCATTTTAAAGTAAATTAGTTGACCAATCGTGCTGCGAATATTTGCGAAAGTAAACAACTTGTGTTTCGCGCGCTCATATGACCTTAGCAGTTGCGAGCGCCGTAAAACCCTATACTACATACATACATACAACTCAGCCTGAAGTATGCATACATGTTCTTTCCCTTCACATTAAGCCTGTTGTGTGTGGTAGTTGTAGTGATATATGTTGTCAATTGTTGCACATTTAGTATAACTCCTAAAAACTTGTGCTTTTTTGTTCATTTTGTTTAGCTTATGGAAAACTTTGAAAAATACAGTTGCATCAGACGAAGACTAGAAGTGTTAGCTGAATGACCTTTCATCAAGGGTTTGTAAAAATCATTTTAAAAATGACATTTTGCCCAAAGGTTTCCTTCAATATGCTTGTCTTCTTTTCTTTTTACTTCCAGGTACCTGCAGTGAAGGAAGAAGTCCCGCCCCAGTATCAGCATTATCTCCATTTGCTACAAGAAAGAAATCGGTATGAGTCGTTCCTCTCGGCGTCACTTTTCACCCGATTGTCTTACTTTTAGTTAGCGTGACTCAGCCGCCCGCCGGAGCTCCCCGGCTCGCGAGGTTATTGAACCCTGAAACGACTTTGCCAGTGTTGGTTAAGAAGTTCGCATTTTTGTCTACATTTGAAACTATATAACTTCTTCCCCATCCCACACAGCAAATCATTATACTGATGTACTAAAAGCTCAATGTCTGAGATTTATTCTGCGTTAGAATGGTTGATTTCTGTGCCTTTGTTTTTGTTCTAGACAGGTGTTTGTAGAGTACCCAATTTGTCCTATTTTAGTTACATACTTATGAATAAATGATTGTTTATTTAAAAACAGCACGACAGATCTCTCCAAAATCTGTGTTAAACTGACTACGAATATCATGTTTTTACTGTGAGAGATCTTAAATCTGCGGAAGTAGTAATAGTGAAGTTATAGGAGAAGAAAGATGCACATTTGCATTTTTTTTACTAAAGACACTCAGCGTTAGCTATTGTTTTATCATTAAACAAGAGAAAGTTACTCTGCGTTTGTTCACGAATTGTGCTGTGTCTATGGCAGCCTGCATACAACTAAGAAAGATATATTATGTGATTTAAAAAACCACAAAACTGTGTAAATACATGAGTAGAGATCAACTTCTTTTTTAGCTTTTTGTGTCAGAAATATGCGAGGACACTTATAAATGTAAAGAAATCAGAACATTGTCAGTTATTGCAAATGGTCATAGACACAAAAATAAAAACTGGAAAAGTCTGGTGCTGATTCAGTGTCACTAGAAAGGTAGAAATTATTCTTATAACCCAATTACGAGAACTTCCCTGCTATTCAGTCAACTTACGAAACCTAGACTTAACGTTTTAAGAAAAGTAAGGAATTTCTGGAGTGTAACAGATACTGTTCGTGTATTACATTGTAGATGTATTCTGGCACTAAAATTGGTTTGTACTTTTTCAGAGAGAGACTTCAGGGTAATTTTTATAAACTTTCGAGAAAATATGCGTATATTCACGATTTTATTAAACACATGAAGTTGTATTTAGAGAAATTACTTCATAGCGAATTGTGTGCCAGATGGATAAAGTTGCAAAATTACAGATTTCTATTATATGGGCAGATACCATCTTTTCTGAGTATCTGCACCAATGTTATGTCGTTCATGTTCCAAAAGTTAGACATTTTTTGTCTTGCCGGTTTTTTTTATATTGATATTTTTTCATTCTCACTTGTCAAAAAATTTTTACAATTTGGCATTGCCGACTTCAGCGTGTCTAACAAAATAACCAGACAAGTTACAATGTCCGTTCTTTTTTGAGTCTCAAGAACAAAAATGCGTGCTTTGGATGCATTAAATGATAATCACCATAAATACAAAAATACACCTAAAACTGTGCGTTGAAAAGTACCACAAATTAAGTAAACCCAGATAGAGCGGCGACGGGGAGCTGACCCCCATGACACCGACATGATAAGGCCCTCGGCGGGGAACCCTCCGCTGCAACTAAAATTTCACTGCCGGTGCGCTGTGACCTGTGATTTTTATTAATATTTTACTGTTAAAGTCAAAGTAAAAAATTTAAGATTTTGTCATGGCGTAACTTTTTTGTCAGTGTGCATCTAGCTGGCAATAGGAATGAAATTGAATCTAAACTGTTGTTGGCTCTTAACACTGTAATTTAGGTTTAAAGTTGTCATTTGTTCAGGCATGTTGTTGTGGCTGAGTGAGTTTGTCCCAGTGGGAGAATATCCAGGAAGGAGGACAATAATGTCTGTGTTCGTATTCTTCTTCTTTGCGTTCCCCTGCTAGATTTTCAGGGATAGTCGACTGCTGGTCATTCAATCCTCAGTGTTACTGATGTTTAGGGATGTAGCCATTTTTTTAACTTCATACTAGGACCACTAGCCCTCAGGCAGCCACAGTCCAATTTCAAAGGTACTCTATGTTTTTATAATAACTAGTGTAATTTCAGTTTTGACAGGAATTAATAATGGATTTTGCCTGGGTGGCGGCTAAAGCCTACTCTTATCGTCTTTAGAACCACCAAGGGATCTTTAACATGGTTGACTTGCACATGGGACCCTCCGAGAATTTTTGCCCTCACCCGAGAAGACTAGGTGTTCGATCTTACCTTCCCTATGCTAAGGGGTGTATCTGAAAGACAGCAGTAAGAAGGAGCCAGGAATAGCAGTAGAATGAGTCAGGGATAAAGGAGAGAGGAGCTATAAGGAGACTGGGGGTGGGGGGCAGAAAGTGGAGATAAAAGCAGATGACAGAACATGACTAGAGAACAGTAAAGGAAGTGAAAGAAGAAAATTTTTTCTCTGTTGCCAGGTTTCAAACCACGGCGCACGAAATCAGCCGAAATCGCGCCTTTTAGTTGTACCGCGGCTCCTGCCGCCCAGCGGTGATTTATCTCCTCGCCCGGTACCTGTTGACCTTTATTATTGGGGTCATTTGACCCCGTCGCACCGTTATAAACTGGGGTGCGTTCTTGATAAAATCGTCTCATTTACTGTCTAAATTACAGTGGTGCCGTAAGACCCACCAAGTAGTTTTAATTTACAGACTTTAGCAACACCATTTCTCAACCTTTAAAAGAAAGTCCCAGTCTTCTACGTGTTATACCAAGTGTTCTACACGTGTCTGTTTGCTGCCTGTGTAACACGCTTTTCTTATTTCAAACTGAGGATAAATAATCATTTATTACAACAAAACGGTGCATTGAATTTTTTTGGGGATTCGATTTGTGAGTTCATTAATAAATCATGATTTGAGTGTATAAATTTCAGTTGTGGTTGTTAAGCTACATCGGATTATTATGTTGGGCCCCCGAATTTACTAACATTATTGACGTATACAACGAAGACCTTAAAATGGAGCACACCCCTGAAAGTCATGTAT